TATTATTATTATTATTATTATTATTATTATTATTATTATTATTATTAAATTTCCTTTGTTTTACATATAAAATTTCCATATCTACAATGGCAGTGTACTGTCTGGGTACAATCTCTTTTAAATACAGGTAATAAACTTAATACATACAATAGTTGTAACCATTATTCTCAAAATCTATTCATCATGATCTTCACTTATCCTTGCTAAACATTTTCTGTTATTTAATTAAATAGTCTGTTCAATTTTGTGTATAATTAGTTAATGATATCAAACCTTATAAACATCACATTTATAATCATTATCCTCCAAGTCTATTATATTTACTTATCCTAAGTATTCAATATTCATTATTTAATTACACACTTACTTCATTTTTATTTACATATCCTCCTTGATTTTGAATTTCTAACTTCTGCTTCTATTTTCTAACCATTGATAGAATAATTCCCAAGTTAAAAAATATTCTGTTTCTTCCTTATCCTTAATCTTCAATGTTAATTTATCCATTTCAGCACATTCTGCTGGGATATCTTTCAATAGTTGCACATCCATCTGGGAAACTCCAAAATTGCATATGAAACTATGAATTCTTTAAAATATTTTATGGCTCTTGCGAAGTCTTTGTCCATTTGACAATGTCTAGCTTGGACATTAAGAAATAAAACAGCTCAAAACAGTTTATCTATATTGAAGCATTTTTCACATCCCTGATCACATTGCTATGGAGGAGAGTGGCGCTATGATTTAATGAAAGAAATGTAGAAAGCTCTTTTTAGCTTATGATGTGGGAGAAATTTTATATATTAACAATGTCCTAAGAATTCAAAGCTGAATATCAAACAGGACTACATGTTCAATTACTTTTCTATTTAGTATAGAAAAGCTAAGAAGCATTAACAGAGCTTAAATCACAATTCTATTTGGTTCAAATTTCCTCCCCCTCCCCCTCTCCTCCTCCCACTTGTTCAAAGCAAATTTATTTATTTCTCTTATTTTGAGCATCAAGGTTCCCCCAAATTAAAAATCAACTTATGGTCATTTCATTGATACATCATCTGTAGTAACAATGTGGAACAGCAACTACTTCTTCTTCTTCTTCTTCTTCTTCTTCTTCTTCTTCTTCTTCTTCTTCTTCTTCTTCTTCTTCTTCTTCTTCTTCTTCTTCTTCTTCTTCTTCTTCT